CTTCACCACTTTTCCAGATGTTCCGGATCGATATGCATTGTTTTGATGGCACGGCGTAGTGATTTCACTTTATCGCACATAAATCTTGGCTTTGCTTTGTCGATGAGTTTCTGGACAAAGACAGGGGCCGACACTTTCAGGTCACATTGGAAAAACATTGTGAATTCGATGTCATCTGAAATTTTGCGTATTCACGTAGAAATTGAAACGTTCGAGAGTTATTATTTTAAAAAAATATGAGAGTAAAAATACAGTGATTAAAACGGCTGAAAAGTAATCGATAATTGAAAATAATCAAATATCAAATGGAATATAATTGAAAGGGATGAAAGATGAAATCTTTACTCTCAAAATTAAAAAAATTTACACATCAAATTTTTTACAATGTAAAGCCAAAGTACTGCTTTAAACGGTAAGACTAATACTGATTATTCTCACCAATAATTGATCCCTAGAACGAAAAACGAAAAAATAAATAAAATATCATGTTCTGCATATGTTATTTTTTTCTGTTATATGTTTGCATGTTAAACTTTTGAAAACTTTGTTTTCTGAAAAATCCCGTTTTTGTATTTTCTTCAATTCCGCAATTTGCTATCAAAAGTTATTGCCTCTCCATAAAGCAAGCAATTAGTGTTCCACTACTTCAGCCTTTTCACCTTTACCTACGAGATTGTTATTAGTACAAGTTATTTATGCTTCTCGGCCGTCTATCTCCTGGCAATCACGTATTTATGACAGAAAAGCAGCGCTTTTTCGTTGATTGGGTAGGTTGAGGTGACTATTGAAGTTGAAACATCCAACTGAGAAATCGCAAAACTCAAAATATTGTCAGTTTTAGAAAATTTCTAAGTTTAATGTGTATCGACTTTCAAGATCAATTTCACATTATTTTTGAAATTCATCTGCCTCAATTTTCGTCGCGAAAGAATTTACAATGGAATTTTGGATGTAATAATGATTTCAGAATAGAAGCGACTTCAAATCTATAACATTTTGACCTTACAACTAATCATCAAATCGTAATCTATCTATTTGTTTCGTGCACACATTGGGCTTATTAAATTTCCTAAAATAAGTAATAAATATGAAGAGTAAGAGTATTCCCTAGAATATTGGATGGCACAGCGCAGTAAACTTTTCAGTTCAACATGGATGCAATCTGCATTTTTCTCAAATTCGTGTAATGCACGAACAGTTTCAAGTACTCAAAAGCAGACTTACGTTCTCCTTTGGTACAGAAACAATATCCACCGATATGCTGATAAGTGCGCACTATATCTGGCGTTGGAGCTGGTGCAGCTGTCGGAATGCTTCTTGCAACCATTATCACTCGATTTGGCTCAAGAATTGTGCCCACTATGTCCACCTTAATAAAAAAATAGTTAGGAAATTGAAAAAAGCTAAAAAGCTTAACGCTTACCGAGTCCCTAGCAGAAAGCGGGAACCTCTTCTTGGTGACATGGTGAACCAAACGATAGCCTTTGTCAAGTTCTTGCACTAGTTCGCATTTCTGGAATAAAATAGGAAGTTTCGAAAAGTAGGAATGTTACCCGTACCTGCAAGATATCGTCCCACTGGATGCGGTAAGGAAGCCATGGTGTTACCATAGCCTTCACTGTTGCCAGATCAGTTTCCTATAAGGAAAAATGTTATGAAAGTTTCTAGAAAAAAGTCTTTGATTTATCTTGAAAATGTTATGCTGAAAAAGATACTTTTTATTTTCTCAATTTACCTCAAGGATCAAGCGACATCGAACGATATCCACAGCACAGGTATCGGTGCCCTTTCTTGTGTGGAAAAAAATTCCATCGTCGCTCCATAGCTCCTTCCAACCTTCTTCGCCACGATCACACAGCTCCAGCATATCTTTTAAAACCTCATCACCGACTGCTATCATATCCGTGGAAGCGTTCTCGACTGTGGTAGTCATCTGAAAAAAAAATCACTTTCGAATTTTGAAAAAAAAAA